AGAGACTATATCTTTTTCTGCAATGGATTCCTGGGAGAGCCAAAAGAAAAATAAGTTCTTACTTTGTGCTCACAATAAACTAGTAAAGATTGTCACTACAAAACTTTGTGGGCAGAAAAAGGCCAAGATTTGGAAATGCTGCATAAAAACTAAAAGTAATCACATTTAAAACTGTGTTGGCAAGCAGGTTTAAAAAAAATGGATACTATAGAAAATTTTATTAAGTAGAGAACCAAGGTAAAAACATACTTCTAGAATTGAATATCCCCACCTCAACCCAAAAAAGACAAACCAGTCCAATTCTTGAATATTCATTATCTTGAAAGGGGAAAGTAAGAGTGGAAAGCATAAAAAAAGAAATCTTTCAGAAGAAAATTGAAAATTTTCTTCAGAGATCCAAGCAAAATGTATAGGGACTTGAAAAAAGAAAGTAAGGAAGATTAGGGGAGGCACTCAAGGAAAAAATCTTCAGCAGATATACAAATACATGTATACAACGCAAATAGATTACAGAATGGTATATAACAGAATTTTTAAAAAGGACGGAACTGCCAAAAACACTAGCAGAGGGACCAGCAGATGGCATAACAGTTACATCACTGGACTCCCACATAGTCAACTGCAGTTCGAGTCTCAGATCTGGAGGCTTAAAACTCATGCCGGGTGCATGTACATGTGTGCCCCAAATCCTGAGAGGAGAACAGAGAAGGGATTGTGGCGTGGCTATCCCTTCTGGGGGCTGATTTCTCACTTTCTGTCTCTCTGTTTCTCTCTGTCTCTCTGGAGAATGCACACACCCAATAGCAAAAACCTCTCTACATTAAAAAAAAAAAAAAACTAGTAGAACAAAAACTGAAAGTGCATAATATAATATTCTTTGCTGAATTTTGAATTTGATGACTATGGTAATATCCTTGATTTGATTATCACACAGTGCATGCATACTTTGAAAAGGTGTGTAACTGTTAAATGCAAATTTTAAATTGTAAAATGTAATTTTATAATTATTAAAAATTTTACATCTGTAGACTGTCTATCAGTATAAAGACAGTCTAACATCTTTAAGAAGGGTTTTCTATATTGACCCCAAAATACAAAAAGAAGTCTAGTTATTTCATGTATTTTTAGACCCAGCTATAATGGTACCTGCCACAATACACTGTTCCACAGGACCACACAGGAATCCTGGGTTGGACACTCAGCCCAACCTAAAGACATATAGGGACATATGCCTATAGTACCCCCTGGGAGGCTTAAGTAAAGAGACCATGACATGATGAGATACTGTCTTTTAAAAAATACATATTTTTAAAAGTCTGTTGTAATGAGATTTTTCTACAGCATTTGCATACAATTGTGCATAGCATTATTTTATTATTTTAAGATAATATTCCAGGGGCCGGATGGTGGTGCAACAGTAAAATGCAATATGCTCTGCAAAGCTAACCCACATGGGAAGGTCATATCCAGAGACTTCCCTGAGTACACTGGGTAATGTGTGTCCATGATCCACAGCTAGCTGAACTGGGGAGTACCACAGCATCAGGACCCTGGTGGGTTGTAGCTCTCTCTTTTATTCTCTGTCTGTCTCTCTCTCTCTGTTTCTCTCACTTATCAACGAAAGGAAGGAAGAAAAAAGAGACAGGAAGGAAAGAAGAAAGGAGAGAAATTTGAAAAAAAAAAAAGGATAACATCTCAATATATTATAGACTTCACAATTTCTAATTTTGGAGAGGCTTTCATCCTATTATACATTTGCCAGAGTTATTTTAATTTGTTTTTCCAAAGAACCAGTCATAACAACAAAGTAGTATTACAAGAAGTACATTAGTAAATCAAAATCAAGAGATTCAATATACCACAGTCAATAAAATGATAAAAACACAACATCATCTAGATAAATGGCAAAAGGACCCTTGATAAAATTCAACACAGACAAACAGAACTACCATTTGATCCAGCAATCCCACTTCTGGGTATTTACCCAAAAGACAGGAGAACGCTCAGTCAGAAAAGTGTTTGTACATCAATGTTTATTGCAGCATTATTCACAATTGCCAAGACATGGAACCAACCTAAACATCCACAAACTGATGAATGGATTGGAAAAGTGTGGCATATATACTCTATGGAATACTACTCAGCCATAAAAAATAACAAGACCCTGGCATCTGATAGAAAGTGGTCAAATATGGAGGATCTATTGCTGAGTGAAGCCAGCCAGGCTATGAAAGAAAGATATTGTATGTATCCACTTAATATATACCGACTATCCGCACTCTATGGTAAAGAGTGAAATATGATAGGACATAAAAGCAGTGAAAGTACTTAACGAGAACAAGACAGTGTGGAATGGGGAGATGAAGAGAAGAGAATAGACAAAGATAGCAAGAGAACAAATAGAGAGAGGCAGGAAGTCCGTGGGAAACAGATATGGCTTATTACCTGTTGATGCTGACATGTGTAGTATTCTCAACTGGATTGGTCTGAGAAGTATTTCATAGTGGGTAAAATCTTTTTACAATAAAAATGAGAAATAGTGATTGACTGTTTAAAAAATAATTAGAATAATAATAATAACGATTGGGAAGAACATAGAAAAGATATTGAATGATGAAGTGGGGAAATTAATGTCTCTGTATGACTGACACGCATGGCATTCCCTTTTGAAAAAGCAATGTAATACACTGTAAAGTTATATGTAATTCAATGTAATATAAAGATTATGATGATAATAAAAATAAATTTTTTAAAAAATTCAACACAGATACAGAGAAAACTCTGAAAAAATATATATGAAAATATCAGCAGTGCCTATTATTCATGATGGGATCAAGCATGAAGTTTTCATTTTATGGCTAACATTTATTTCTAATTTTTTATAATAACTATGTGTACAAAATATAATCCATATGAATGAGAAAAAATATAATAAACTAGGAGAAGCCAGAAGTGAATAGCTATGAAATCTGAAGACAGAGGGCAGAAAGGAGGCCCTGCCCCAAGGTAGAGAATGAAGCTGTACAGATTGTGTGTCTGTCTGCACGCATGTTATTCATTGGGTGAGACTTGGTTTAAGACGTGTTTTCATTATGTCACATCCATCCTGACGTCTTCCTGGATAATGCCAAATCATCAGATTTGCTAAAGTTAGTCTGCGGGAATAGGGACCCAAGAAAAGGTCAGTGAAAAAAGCGGGATACAATCCATACATAATATAGGAACAGTCGTGTTAAATATATGTAACATATTTCATCGGCTCTATCACGATGGGTAATAAGCCTTTCATATTCCACTAAAAAAGAAAAATGCCAATTATGACGTAATGTTTAATTACCTATAATTTTATTACATATTTATCTAAAGAGCCCTTCTAAATTAATTTACACACGGATATTATCACGTATCATACTGCTATTTCCATGTCTTTCTGTGTACACAGTAACTCTGCCTTCTACTGCCAAATCACAATGAAATCACTCTGAAAGGTCATTCGTGTACCAGCAAAGCACATAAGTAACCTGAAATGTCAGCAGCTTGAATCACTGTGACCACGGTCAACCCCCCGTAGGCAGTGAGATCTTCCAGGACGCAGGGTGAAGGCCTAAGCATCTCAATTTTAGAGATGCCGAAATAAGGGAAAACAAATGTACTCCTTAGAATTCATGAAATAGACTTTTTAATATAATAATATAGTCTATGGGAATGAAATTATGACTTCTTTCCTAACACTTTCCTTACACTAGTTTTTAATAATTAGAAAAACATTTTTGTGGTGGTGGGGGGGGGTTGCTTTTATTTGGATCATTTAAATCTCTTCTCTCCTTACACAACGCATATCGGCTCTTTTCTTAGCCTAGGCATAATCCAGTAGGTCTGTGTTCAAAATAGCTACCCCAGGATGTAGAGGAACTGCGATCATGTGAGCCTTTATGATTAGGGCTGTGGACTTGTTTGGTTCGCGGTAAGGGAGCGGGTAAAATGAGTACAGCTAAAGAGGAGGAAGGAACAACAAAACAGGACAGTAAAACAATTCAGCATCGGGTCAGTCTTTTATCTTTAATTACAGCTGGGCCGAGCCCAACTGTCTACAGACATATTTTATGGCCTGTAAATCACAGCCATTGGGTAATTCAGGAGAGACCTTTTTTATTATTCTGAAATCCACATATTTTGTTGTTTGGGCTCGTGTGCACTGGGCTGTGGGAAAAGGAGGAAGACCCAAGCTGGGTAGTGACGTGCAGAGGTAGGGAATGTATTTTCAGCAGCCCAGGTGATGGATTAAGTCTGTTCCAGTTCCTTGGTGTGTTGTTCTAAACCACAGCCCCCCCACACACCCATGCCCACCTGGACAGCCAACACCCACCCCTGACCATCAACACAGCTCCTTCCAAGGAAGGAGGTCTTGCCTGAAGAAGGAGGAGGAGGCTGTTTGACATCTTAGGTTCGGGAGACAATTAGTTCACGTTCCTGTTACACCCAGGAACTTTCTCAGAAACAGTATCCTCCTTGAACCCGGAAGGCACACTTGACGAGGAAGCGCACTGGACATCGCCGTCCCCCAGCACCCTAACCCACCTCTTCTTGTGTCCTAGCACTTTTCCCTTCCCATTCCTATTTCAAACTTTTAGCTGATACAGTTGCCAAACGTCCCCCCCCCCAAAAAAAGACACATGCAGACAAAAATCCTCACTATGACCAGGACATTATCATAAAACAATATGTTCAAAAATTACCCATATGAGTGAACTAAGAGTTTCTGAGTTAAAAAAAAAATTACTCTGAGGGAAATATAATTAAAATCCAGACTTTGGAAACAGGAGCCAACCAGCATTAAAAGGCTTCAAGCAAATTCTTGAACTAGACAGTAACACTCGTTGTGTTGTTTTTGAAAAGCCTTGACTCAGTAGCAAGCAAAACATTTTTCCCCACTTCAGTCACGTGGTTTCCACTTAAGAAAGGGCCACTTAAGACTTGAGGCCCAACGCTCAGGAACTTACGTAAAGAGGTACTTCACTGCAGCTCAACTCCATGGCTCCGCATCTGCAATGAAAATAAGAAACAAGCAGTTACCGCAGGAGGTTGGTGCAAATGACCCGCAGCACTCCCTGTGTCCTGCCCTTCGGTTGTCAACACTGTGGACAAGCAGGTGAACTCGTTAGATTGGAAAGCTGCAGAGACACAATTAGGAAAGAACAAGAAATGAGATGCTAGCTATATAAATTGTCTTCCCCCAAAAAGACAGTACGGCAGTTCCTCAAAAAATTAAACATGAAATTTTCATACAATTCAGCCATTGTACTTTTAGGCATACACTTACAAGAAGTGAAAGAAGAGACTCAAAGAGATACTCATATATCGGTGTTAGAGCAGCCTCACACACAATGGCCAATAGGTGGAAATAACTCAAACATGCATTGATAGACGGATGGGCAATATATATGTATATACACTGAGTATGTATGTATATACATACATATAATATATGTATATATTATACATACATATTATATATGTATATACATATATATAATATATGTATATATTATACATCCATTTTATATAGGTATATACATATGTATATGTATATGTATATATTATACATACATATTATATATGTATATACATACATATAATATATGTATTATAATATAGGTAAATACATACATATAATATATGTGTGTAATATACATACATATTATATATGTATATGCATACATATAATATATGTATATAATATATATGTATATACATATAATATATGTATATATATACATACATATTATATATAATATATACATACACAATGAAATGCTACTCGGTCTTGAAAAGGAATGAAATGCTGACACATGCTACAATATGGATGACCCTGAGAGACATTATGCTAGGTGAACAAGCCACACAAAAAGGATAAACCCTTGGAACCAGCAGTTAGTGTAATGGCTATGTCGCTGGATTCCCACGTAGTCAACCGCAGTTCGAGTCCTGGAGCCGGTGGCTTAAACTCACATCAGGTGCATGTGCGTGCGTGCCCAAGATCCCAAGAGGAGAATGGAGGAGAAGGGACTGCAGCATGGTCATCCCCCCTGGGGGGCGATTTCTCGCTTTCTGTCCCTCTGTCTCTCTCTCTGTCTGTCTGGTGAGTACATGCGCCCTATAGCAAAAACCTCTCCAAAAAAAAGATAAACCCTGTATGATTCCACTTCTATAAGTTGCCAAGACAGCCAAATTCATGGGAAGAGAAAGTAAAACAGACATTACCAGTGTTGGAATGGAGGAAATGGGAATTATCATTTAGTGAGAACAGAGTTTCAATTTGGGAAGATAAAATTAACGTCCTGGAGAAGAATGGTAGTGATGGTTGCCGGACAACGAGAATCAATGTGAATGGACTTAGTACCACTGAATGGTACGTTGAAAAAAGTCTCAAATGGTGAACCTTACATATCATAGCAAAAATGTTAAAGGTGTGGTAAGTTAATCACAGTTTATGTAAAAATTTTAAAGACATAGTAAGTTCATTGTAGTACATGTAATAATGAAGCAAAACTTAAATTATATGAATTTTTTAAATATATGCTCCACCTTTATTTTTCCATATTAATTTCCACACATAAGAAAAACCAACTACCCAGACGTTATTCCACTGGCTGCTCCCAGAATAGGAATATTTTGGAAAGTCAAAAAAGGTCAATTTAAGGATGACAAAGTTTCACCTTCGTTCACTGCTTGGTTCACAAGCTACTCTGAGGTCAGAATCCATGTTTGGTCAAATGAGGCCAAGAGCACAGTGACAAGACAGCGGCACCACCTCTTATACCAAGGGCTAGAATTTCAGCCATCTAGCCGTGGTGGAGGAACGCAGTCCGTAGTCAAGCTAACCAACCTCTCTGCCATTTGCACACATGCAGATCTGCCTCTGGCTGTGCCTGCCCTTTAAATATAGCACTGGAGCTAGCTCAGTGGGGCAGCACTGATACACTGCTCAGGGGAAAAGGGACCCCATGTGACAAGTGGTTTGAATCCCAGCCCCGCCAGCCTGAATCACGCTGGGCACACAGGCCCACGTTCAATGGGCTGGAGGACTAAAGGAAAGGGATCATGGTGTTACCAGACCCTGTGGAGGATGGCTTCTCTCTCTTTCTCTCTCTCAAGCTCACTCTCACATGTGTACATACATGCATCAAGAAACATTTATTTTTTAAATAATTCTCATAAGTGAAGTGTCCATTGACAGATAAACAACATGTGGTATATAGAGCTACAATGAAATATTACTCAGCCTTTAAAAAAGAAAATAAATTCTGACACATGCTACAACATGGATGGCCTTGACAACATTATCACAAGGGAAATAAGCCAGACAGAAAAACAAACACTGTATGATTCCAGTTACATTAAGTACCTAGAGGAGTCAAATTCATAGACGCAGAAAGTAGAATGGTGATTGTCAAGGCGAAGAAGGGGATAGATATTATTTCATGGATACAGTTTCAGCTTTGGGAGATGGGAGGTGTTTTAGAAATGGAGAGCAGTGATGGCTGCCAGACAGTGCAAATGTACTTAGGACTACTAAACTTGTGAATGTGAGACTGCAGTCACATGGGAGCCCAACGTCAGATCCTGTGTCCACCTGAACACACTGTACCCCTGTGAGTGTGCCCATGACCCTGGCTGGCTAGGAGACTGGGGGAGATCATGGCATGAAGACCCTGTTGAGTACCTCCCTCCCTCTTTCCATCTCTCTGTCTCTTTCAAAATAAATAAATAAAACAAACTTAAAGAGGGAAAGAAACAAGGAAGGAAGGGAGGGAGAAAGAAAATTAAAATAGCATCCAGAAGCTGGCTTCCTACTTAGAACAAAAACCCCAGCATCACTCATTGAACCAGGCTGTGGGCCAGATGAGGGGAAGCCCAAAAGCAGCACGGGCTCCCTGAGAATGCTGCATGGGGCAGACGAAGGACTCACACCCCACCACCTCCACCCACCTCCCTGCCTTCTGGTCCCCCCTGCACACTCCAGGCCTGGGTTCCATTTCTCAGGCCAAGTCTGGGTCTGGCTCCCAGGCCACCGCCCCGGGCAGTCCTCTGGGGACTTCTCTTGAGAAAGCAGGCACGGGGCAACCTGCACTGTGACATTTAGTACAGTCCTCTCCAGAGGGTGCACTTAGAGTTACATTCTTATTTAGTTTTTTGTTTAAAAATAACCAAACTAAATTTCACTAATGCTTCATACACAGGCAGGCACTAACACTCTTCTAGATCAGTTATGCTTCATGAGTCACCTTGAGAGATGGCTGAGGGTCCCAAGAGGCCAAGGGCTTAACAGCAGGACCTTCCTCATTTTCAGCTTGTGCCCTGTGCCAGTGGTGTGAACCCCCTTCAATGGGTTTATGGATTATAATAATCAATTTTTAATTAAACAAATTTCACAAACTGGACTAATGTCTTAAAGAGTCTGTGGAAGAAGCTTTGAATTAAATATAATACAAGAATGGAACTGAACTGAGACTCCTATTACTAATATGAATTGTGTGCCTGCCACACATGAAATAAAAGCAATCACCAACTCAAGAGCACTGACAAGTTGACCCCTCAAAATTCTAAATTATCAAGAAAGCATTTAAAATATGAATTTGGAGGCTGACAGGCAGCAGGGTGGTTAAGGTGTCGGACTCCCACACGGACTCCCAGATCTGGCAGCTTGCTTTCTCATTTTCCCTTTCTCTCTCATAAAATTTAACATAAATAATAATAACAAATTGAAATTAAGTAAAATAAATAAATAAATCTTTTTTAAAAATAAAATAATAAAATGTGAATTTGTAGCCACTAGTATATACCATGACCTTAACACTAACTATATGCTGCACCTCAAGAAATCAACAAATTTTTATCTGTTTATAGTCATGCCATATACAACTCCAATATTTTATAAAATTTTACCAACTTGATCAAATTAGAAGGACCTTTTAAGATTAAATAGAAGGAGCCAGCAAGTGGCATGATGGTTAAGGAGGCTGGACTCCCATATGGCTGACTACGGTTCAAGTCCCAGAACTGGCAGCTTGCTTTCTCACTTTCCTTCTCTCTGTCTCTCTCTGGTCAACTTCAAAAAACTTAAATAATGACAATGAATAAAATTAAATAAAATAATTCTTTAAAAAAGGACAGATCTCAAAATGGAAAAATATTTTTGTAACCAGAATACACAGGGGACTCAAGCAGCTGTCCAAAAAAAGATGATCAACTCTATTAAACTCTATTAAAAGATGGAAGAATGAGTTGAAAAAACCACTTTCTAAGGAAGACATAAGAATAGCCAAAAGGCATATGAAAAAATGCTCAACGTCCCTCATTATAAGGGAGATGCAGATCAAAACCACAATGAGATACCACCTAACTCCAAACAGAATGACTAAGATTAAAAAAAAAAAAAAGATAAGTGCTGGTGGGGGTGTGGTGAAAGGGGAACTCTCCTACACTGCTGGTGGGAATAAATTGGTTTAGCCACTATGGAGAACAATATGGAGATCCCTCAAAGATCTACAAATAGAACTACCATATGATCCAGCAATCCCATTCCTTGGGATCTACCCAAAGGACAGAAGAATCCTTAGTCGGAAAAGTGCTTGCACACTAATGTTTATTGCAGAATTATTCACAATTGCTAAAACATGGAACCAATCCAAATGAATGGATTGAGAAAGTGTGGCACATACACTCTATGGAATACTACTCAGCCATTAAAAAGGAAAAAAAAAAAAGACCCTGGCTTTTGACAGAAAGTGGATGAATATGGAAGATTTACTTCTGAGTGAAGCAAGCCAGGCTATGAAGAGACATTGTATGTCTTCACTTAATATATACCAACTCTCTGCACTCTGTAGCCAAAACTGAATGACTAGAGGATATAGAAACATAGAAAATGGTTATAAGTACCAGATACAGTGTGGGAAGAGTGTGGGTGAAAGAAGAGAGTCTGAGGAAGGACATTAAAGAGAAAAGTAGGGAGGCAAGGCATGGATGGGACAAAGAAAAG